GGCCGTTGAATAAATTTGAGGCAATCTCCCGTGTTCGGTAGAAATGCATTATCAAGCATACGAGGTCAGAAAAGGGTTAAGAATACTTTACAAAAAAAAGGAATCGTGGCAAGCTTACTAGGCCAGATCATTGAACTTCAAACTCGAGGGGCAAGATTGAACACCTATACGCGGTGTCCTCTACGGACCTGGGAGTGAAATATTCTCCCAAAGCCAAGTTCAGTCAAATTTTGCAATATCGAACAAGTTGGCTCACGAGACAATGACTTAAAATACTCCACCATGTCAAACCTTCACTCCCAAAGAGTCCGATTCAAACCTAAGCCTCGTCAAGTCTGCAAGTACGACCTAGTACATCTTATTCCAATGATCACACTTCTCGTCGACTTTCTCTGGCCTCAGCAGGTCGCCAAATACACGCCCACGCCGATATTTACACCCGACGGAGGAAGCAAAGCATGGCGCATAGAGCTGGCAGACAGTTCTTTGGGATGGACGTCAAATGGATCAGGATAAGTTGATAAGATGATGCAGAGGATGGATACATTCTCGACGAGCGTGAAACTTCAAATTTTGGCGCGGAGTTTTCATAAATTGAGCTTTGTGCGTGCCAAGACTTCGGCTGCAAGAGTGCAGGCGACACTATAAACACCGCTATGGTTGGATGGTGCGGTGGTACATCGTCTTGGCCGGTCTTTTTTTTAATTTTTTTATTTCTTGGCCGGTCTGCCAAGTAGAGTTTGGATAGCTTGGACACATATCCCACTTGAGACAGTAGATTGCTGGTTCAAATCCAGCAAAACACAACCACATTTCTCGCGGCGCTTGTATGCATAGATGACGAAGACATGCTTGGATAATCAAAGGTTTTGAAAGGTCCTTTTGGTGGGTACTTACGCAGGAGGATCGACTGTTTGTGCAATTAAACATATCTCATAGTGGTATTTTCAAACAAAATCCCGAAAATGAGTGTCTCTAACGCCAAACGAGTCATCCTACATGTATACATAGCACCGATCATATGTCATAGCTCTATAGCTGAATACACATTAGATGATTTTAAAAAAAAACTTCAATCTCGCTATGGCCCTGTGTGGAATGATTGGAGTTAACGCTCCACAGCTATTTTGGGTCCGCAAGCTTGTATGGTAATCAAAGGTCAATAAACCCATCAACTTCATTGGCTAGAGATCACGAGAATGCAGATCTACAATGATGAACGTGTCGCTACCTCTCTTCTAAAAAGATGAGACACAATATCCGGCTCTAAATCTTCTTACGATTCGCAGAAAGAAGACTTCGAGTCCTTCATATCTGAGCGTGCTAAGCTATAAGCTCAATGTGAAAATTTTCTAGAAGAAACGGGTAATGTCTCAGAGGCAAAATGCATGAGCAAAAGTTGTATTTACAAGGGGATACAAAAGTTTCGTACCTTTCAGCCTAAATTCTTTACAAACAAGTCATCATGTGTTCTTCAAATGTTCTTCTTAGAGAAAAAAATTAGATTATTTCATTTCAATCCAATCCAATTTGCTCGCTTGTCTAAGAAGACTCAAAGCTTCACAAAAATAGGGAGGACTCCAGTAGCCCTAATTGTGATGAGACTTTCAACAATTCTATCAAACTCGAGTCTGATTACTGTTTCCATCGAAAGAGCTGGCCTGATGAATATAAGAATTCAATTGAGTATGACAATAGTGGAGATATCCTAAACGGAGTAGTTAGTCGAAATTCTAAAAGTAGAAAAGCTACCAGCATCTCTTTCGGGCCACACGAAAGGGTACATCAACCTTACCTATCTTATCATCTGATAAAATTATTGCGAATCTTTATCTCTTGGTTGATTCTTCAACTAATGCTCCCAAAGTTGTGTTTGATGCACTGAAAGAGCGAGTTGGCTCCTAATTGCGACAGGATTTCAGAAAAGAATAAGACAATTTAAAAAGTAAGACTTGGGTTTAATTACGAAGAAGTATATTTCCGAATGGTAAAAGAACCTTCCGGAAGTTATGGATCGCGACATAGATGGAAAAGGAGGGAAAATCTATCTAGGGTGAGGGTTTTCGGCTATTAAGAAATTCAATTAGCTGCACAGAAGAGATTGTAACCTAAACAACATTTTTTTGTCTCGCATTTCTCTTTTGGGAAATTGGAATTACCATTGCCGCAATTTGTTGTCTAGAGTTTGATCAGGTAGACGCCATAATCACCTTTCTTAACAATAAAACAGATGATGACATACACGTCAAAATACCCGTAGTTTAACTAGTTGTCAATGCCCCTATTCAGCTGCTTGGATCATCAGCCTATGGGTGAATCTGATAGGCCAAATTGCTTTAATGGGTATGGCTCAACAGTACGTTTTAGCTCAAATTGTAACAGGTATTTATCAGATGTTATTTGTAAAAGTTTAGGAGAACAGTAGGTTCTTGGAGGCTCCTCTTAGTCCGCTGGTAGCAGTCTGGAATTCGTGTATGAAGTAATAGCTGCGCGCATCTATCAGGGATCGTGCGACGTCCTTGTATATTTAGCTTAGGCTGTAATCTGATACCTCTTTTCGATCTGTCTCATTACAATAATGTCAGAATCCTAAGATGGTTTTTGTATCACAAGTTTTATACAGCAGTAATAGCGATCGATGGTTAGCTTGTATCGTAGTCCTTTGCAATTTCTCTCTGATAATCACGTATGTACAGTATTTATCCGTCTCTCCGAAAGCCATTTCTTAACGGGCAACTCATTCCTCATCAATACAATTTGTCATTATTTCAAGGAAATGCATGACTGTGATTAGAACATTCGACAGACAAATTCGAGTTCAAAAAAATCAGATAATTCAATCCTCAAGCATTTTAAAGCCCTGCATAGGCTTATGCAAGCGCCTCTGTTTTGGCAGTTTCATATTCGATAGCAATAGTCCGACTTTGGCCTCATCCTGTGTTACGGGCTAGACCCGGCTGGGTTCTGGCTGGGCTGTTTAAGGCTATAGGGCCCATCCTTATCTTGAAGGCTCAAGCGAGTTTGTAAATCTTCTCACTATACGGGAGTATTATCAGATCACGTGTAAATGGCAAGGGTATCTGGAACATGCATTATAGTTATAAAGAGCCATAGCTTCCCGCTCGTAATTTCCTCATAGAAAATATAAACATTTAATTGTGGCATTGCTTTCGTGCATTGGCCGAAAGTCCTAGCCCGTCACATCCTGTAAGAGAAACCGACTTGGTGATGACTAACTCGTTAAACTGTTCGAGAAGAGATAGAGCTTCGATTTTTTTCCTTCAGATATTGTTAGAAATGAAGTGAAATCTTATTAGTAATGATGGCCTTTGGAGGCGAATTCTCAACATCTATCTGCAGTAGCCTCGACGAACCAAGGAGTGAAGTATTCTCTCAGTGACCCAGTCATGAGTGATGTTGTTTATTGTACTACTTGAATCTATGACTATCTAGCACATTGGGCTTCTCTCTGACCCAGGCCACACCTTGTACAGTACTCCTTGTCTCTCATTTTTCTTGAAAGATCAATGATATATTACCATTTATGAATGGCTATTTGACTCAGTTTTTATGCGTGGAATTCGGCCACCTTTTCCACGGAATCTTCTACCCACAAAAAAGGTAGCAATGGAAACTGCGTGCGTGGTAAAAAAGTCTCAAAAAACCTGCAGCCCCAGCGTTTGTCGAGCGCTCTGGTTAGTGTGCCGGCGAATGTCGTACGTATTTCGTCGGTGGCGATTCGTCGCAGGTCGAAAGCTTCCATAGGAGTGGGGGGATGTGCCAAATACCTAGTATGACAATAAGTATACAAATGTGACGAAGATCAAAACCTGTGTCTATGCGTGGGATCACGTGCAACAGTCTCATGAGGAAAATGAATGGCGCAAGTCGAGCTAAATAGTGTCCAGCTATATAGTTACGTCGTGATTGCCGTGTGGCGTAGTGTGAGATAGCTTACTTTTTTTGACGTGGGTCCTGCCTTTCTGTAATGTGTCATCATGTTCTGGTAAGGAAATTTGCACACTCGCTAACTATCCTTCTAAGATATAGCTCGTAATCTAGAGCGCACGCAATGCCCATGATATCGTCTCCACTGTCATAGCTAGAGGGCTGCATACGCAAATAAACTCTGTTGTAAAATTAGCTCGTCTACTTACACACCACGCATGATTTCCGGGTTTCTGTCTCGAAATAAAGTTCACGGCCAAAAAACGTACCCCATTCGTTTGTATGGCTGTCAAAAATAGCCCTAAACCATTGGGTGCCAAGCTCACCTTATACCGAAATCAGACCAAATTCCAATAATATAACTATCCCGATGAACAATATGAAGAACTAGCTAGCTGGGTGCCGCAGACTTGTGTGTACCTAAGGAAATTCACACCCTGCATATCTAGCCTCATTCCAACTTCTTCCCGAAGGTCGTGATGCAATTTAGGAAGCTCTTGGCAGTGTGTGTTTACTGTATTGTTGCTTAGCCCAACTTTTGTGCATTCTTGCGAACCGGAGAATGCCGTAGACTAGTTGACGAAAGGAGCCCTTCTGGTTAATGTTAGAATCAATTTTGGCTCTGCAAACCCTAACTGCAATTTGATCATCTGAAATTCCTTTTTTATCTCATTGCGCCCCCAACAAGAAACTTTGTTAATTTTATGTCGACATACTCGCTAACCAGCAAGATAAAATCACAAAACTTTGATAAATTACAAATGGAATACCGTCTCAAAAACAAGAGCCTTTTTATATCAAACTCATGCGACATCTTATGATAAGGAGATACGTCTTAGCTTGCAGCTTGAAGCTGGTGAGCGCCCCGTATATCGGCATGGTCAGCTTCACATCTTTACCGCTATTAGAATGAGGCGGCTCCACAGTTGCATGACGAAGCGATAGTCGATGGCTAGTCCTTTTGATTCGTTTAAGTTATTATAGAAGGGCCCTTAGCCTACCCCTCCACTTGGACGACGAATTTAGTTCAGGAACAGTCGAATCTTCACACCATGGCCAAATTCTTCAAAGTCCCGCCTGCTAGCAGGTTTGCTGGAAAAAAACAGGACATGTGGTATGTAACAGAAGGAGAGAATTATCTCAATAGATGCGTCGACTCAAATCAGCTCAGCCTCATGGAACTTGGTGGCCTCCGCGTCATTTTGTTTCAATTCCAGCTTAATTTTTGTAAAATATTTATTTGGTACATACAGCTGACTGATTTGGTCATTGAATAGGTCATTCGTCAACGAGGCAGCTACTAAATCTCCTATAACACCAATTGTCAATATGGGACAGGGTTTCTTCGGATATAACCCACCGCAATTCATCATTGATGCGGCCAAAGATGCCATGGATCTTCTTGACTGTAACCAATATGCGCCCACTAGAGGGCGTCCACGACTAAAGCAAGCCTTGTCTGATGCGTATTCACCCATGTGGGGAAGGAAACTCAACCCTCAAACTGAAATAACCATTACATCAGGTGCCAATGAAGGTATACTTAGCGCATTCATGGGATTTGTCGAGCAGGGTGATGAGGTTATTGTTTTCGAACCATTTTTCGATCAGTACGTTTCATCCTCAGCGTCAACCCAATTTGGTTTACTGACTTCCTACAGATACATCAGTAACATCGAAATGGCCGGGGGTAAAGTAGTTTATGTTGCGCTACAACCACCTGCTTCTGGAGACTCAAAGAACACAGCGGCAGCCGATTGGAGCATTGACTTCCAAGAGCTCGAGGCTGCTATCACGCCCAAGACTAAAATGATAGTTCTTAACACTCCTCACAATCCAATAGGGAAGATTTTTTCCAAGGAAGAACTCACTCACATTGGCGAAATTTGCGTGAAGAATAGTATTTTAATCTTATCAGATGAGGTATATGACCGACTATTCTATGTACCATTCACTAGAATTGCTACTATTTCACCAGAAATTGAGAACCTCACACTGACAGTTGGATCTGCGGGTAAGAGTTTTTGTGCCACAGGTTGGCGAGTAGGATGGCTGATAGGGCCGTCACACCTAATCGATTACGTGGCGGCAGCACACACTCGGATTTGCTACACCTCGGTCGGGCCGCTCCAGGAAGCAACAGCGGTAGGATTTGAACAGGCTGACTCTCACAATTTCTGGGAAACCTCCAGGACACAGATGAAGCATAAAGTAGACTACTTTAACGAGATTTGGGCCGAGCTCGGCTTGCCATTTTCTAATCCTGAGGGTGGCTACTTTGTCCTTGTAAATATGAAGAAGGTTAAATTTCCAGATAACTATCCGTTTCCACCTCATGTCTCTTGTAGGATGAGAGACTTTCAACTCTGCTGGTTTCTTATACAGGAACTAGGCCTTGCCGCCGTTCCCCCCTCTGAATTCTTTACCGCCAAGAACTCTCACATGGGAGAGAACTGGCTTAGGTTTTCTGTGTGTAAAGAAGATGACGATCTCACCCGCGCTAAAGAGAGACTAAGGGGCCTCAAGAAATTCATTGAATAGATTAGTGATAGAGGTAACACACGTACTACGTGTATCATAAAAGATACACCAAAATATTACTTTACACACCGTGCGGTGCAATGTCCAAATACTTACAGTCCGTTCTATCATTTACATATCTCACCTTTTTTTATTTCTCAAGTCCTTCTCAAGCGCATGTCATGACTTGCCCTGTGCAAATTGGGCATCACCACCCAAGCAAAATAATTTATTTTACATTCAGCTACCCACCTATGTGATATAGCAAGCGCCAATATCTATGCGGGATACGTTTTGGATCTTCGTGACACTCGAGACCTCAATTTTACTCGCGAAAACCTCTGAGGATTACTCCACAACAGGGGTACCTCTATCCTCGTCTGTGAATGTTCGCCGCTGAGGATTTACATTTATTTCCTTCACGAAGTGTTCACTTTTTCACACTTTGTCCAGGCACCGCACAGAGTATGGTCTAGTCGAGCTGAAATTGCGCTTGCCATGACTGCGTTGACGTGGCTCGATGCCAAAGCCATCTAAACATATGCTCGTAGACAAGCTTTTTTGAAATTTATTGTTCTATCAAATCTATGACTATGTAATAACAAGTAGGTCTTCTCTGTCTACAGTCCAAGGATAACTATCTAGTTGTATTTCCATACCTATGCCTTCCATACAGCTCCTCTAAAACAGTACCACCTATCACAAGTCCTCATTCGATCATATGTATAGAGGAGCCCTTTGCCCTTCATCATCTCTCCTTTACAACCATGAAACGACAGCCATTTACTGGTGTATAGACTGGGAAAAATTACAAAAAAACACTGGATGCGTGGCTCGCCTAATACAGAGATCGGGATTAAATCCGGAGACATAGTGATCCATCTGAAGCGTCCAATGAGGCCGGCCGGCTGGGCGCTGCGGACTTGTGAGTACCCCGGTGAATTCGCTCGCTGCCTTTCTAGCCTCCTTTCGACCCTTTCCTGAAAGGTCGGAATAGGCTTGATAGATCGTGATTGTTGTATAGTAGATTAGCTCAACTTCTTTTCTGCCGTCTTGGATACAAGGGAGTATCGAAGACTAATTGACAATAGAAGTCATGGCCTATTACTTGAAGCCGTTGTCTCGGCGCCCACAGACATTCCAAAGTTGAAACTACTCAGAAACTTAAGTCCTATCGTGCATAATAATGATCTCTCATTCTGCAACCCAACTGCCTGTCACCTTAACGTGAAGACCCATTAGGGCAACAGTCCTCCATGAACCAAGACCCCAACTCTGCATATTTTTACGTGATTTCCTCCTTGCGGGTATACGTAGCGCCGTAGATTTGTAGTGAGTGATGGCCGGTGATGAATGAGGCAAGCTCCTGTTTGCCATTGGGGTGACGCCTTTTCAGTTGAGGCGAGGTGGCCAAGTACGATTGAGATAGAGGACTTGCGCGAGAATGATGGGCTGGATACTGACGAGAAGTCGTCGATCTTAGATATGATCGAGATTGCTATCGACTTCGCATCGGATGGGATTCTTGGCTATTCCAGGAATGCAGGGCATACCGAGTGATTACACTGGCACCACTGGAAGGTGAAGAAGTCGTCTTTGCCAGCTCAAGAGACTAGTTGAGACGCAGTGCTATTGCTCCTTACGATGGTTATCTCGTAATCGACTCAATAAGGCTGTTTTCAGTACATAGGTACCTGCTTCGGGGCCGGATGAGTTAACATAAGTCCAGTTTGTTAGAAATTTAGGGACCGGTACAAGAGCACATATTAGCTTTGACACCAGCTCTAATCATATTAATACAAGCTTAAATTATCAACTTCATTTTTTCATCACATTTCTAATACATTAACAGTTTTCAAAGATCGAGTTATAAATTTACACAGGACTTGTTCGTGATTAAATTATACACCCCGGACCAAAGGATATAAAGAGTAAAATGGGATAGCTCGGTTTTATGCTGGCGTCGTCTGGATTACGATATTCCAAATACTTTCACACATGTTCACGAGTTCTCTCATAAAATTTCTATAATTAACAGATTTCTCTACGCCCGCGACATGACTCCCCATGCCCGAATGATGTTATCAGTGTATCCTGCAAATAATGTCTGGCCATCTGAACTCCATGCCAAGGACACACATTCCGGTTCGCGGCTCTTTTTTCCTGCAGTGGGGAATTCTGGCTTTAATTGATCAACTTTCGACTTCTTCTCCAGGTCAAAGATGATGATATAGCTTGAAGTTGCGGCACAGAGCCAGTACCGATTAGGTGAGAATACAAGAGCGTGTATCTCATCCCCGGCAGAAAGAGAGTATAGATGCTTAGACTCGTTAAGGTCCCACAACATTGTAGTCCCGTCTTTGCCTCCAGACGCGCAGAGAGAACCATCTGGAGAGATGGTGACACAATTAATGTAACCAGTGTGTCCGCTGTGATCGGTCTGTAACCTACAGGAGGAGAGCTCCCAAACCTTGAATAAAGTTAGCATTAGCTTCAAAGGGTAATAAAATCTTAAAGAAAATCAACGTGTAGAATTTTATCAGATATGTGGTGTTGTTTGTCTCATGGCATAGTCTCCTATGCTCTGAAGTAGCAAATACATAACATTTTGTAACATCATATAAACTAAACTTGGATGTGTAGGAATAGAATTCCTTACCTTTACAAGTTTGTCCCAGCTACTACTGACAATGACTGGGTTCTGAGGGTTGGGACTGAATCGAACACATGAAGTCCAGTCTGTGTGTCCCTTTTCTGTAATGGTAAATTTACAGTCTCCAAGAGTATTCCATAGCTTTATTGTTCGGTCGCGAGAGCCCGAGACGATTTGTCTGTTGTCAGCTGAAAAAGATACAGAGAGAACATCATTGGTGTGCCCAACGAATCTTCTAGTAGTTGTTCCGGTGGCAAGCTCCCATAATCGAAGAGTCTTATCCCAAGAAGCCGAGAGAGCGTAAGCACCATCAGAGGAAATGACCTAGTTTGGAATCAGTGTTCAATTGAAGTCTCAATTTCGGATACTAGATTGACACCTACACAGTCTGATACAATGTGTGAGTGGCCATGAAGTGATCTTTTGGGTAAGCCATAAGCAGTCTCGTTTCGGGTGAGATCCCAAATAATCAGAGTTTTGTCGCGAGAGGCCGACAGGAGCATGTCTGGGTTCTCGAGAGACGTGGCAAGTGAAGTGACCCAGCCACTATGGCCTTCGAGGGTGCCCTTCAGTATGAGTTGTTCCGTCATTGCAGAGATCTTGCTGGGAGTACTTGTGTGAGGATGGTTGCGGCTGAGGGATCGCGGAGATTTGCGCTTCAATATTCACAAAATGTTTTTGTGGTATTACATAAGCCACCGCCCTAGATCGACTTGGGGCACTTCGGCCACAACGGACAAGGGTGTGAATACATGCTACTCCTGATCGTTGATAATTAGCACAGAAAAACAGCATAGACCTACTTCGAATATCTTCGGGGCTGCAATTAAAATTAAATTTCCTGGACTATGAGATGAATTTTACTTCGAAAGGAGTCATTTAAATCACAAGAGAACACTTTTGGTCAATACTGGTCACCTCGACCCGCAAAATTATTCTAAACCCCAATTGCAAGATAATTCAAAAGATATTTTGCACTACGACAGTACTAATTTCCTCGCAATCTACACTGACCCTACCCAGATGCGTTTGCTGCCCTCTGCTCCTCCAATTTGGTGTAATAAAGATCTCGTTTGCGAACGTTTGGAATGTGAAAACCGTACCTGACGATCGTAAATACGTGCGCTCTGTTTCAATCGTAATGTAGAGATTCTACGTACCAAAAAAGGTATCCGACTGATGTTCCAACACCTAATCAGGTTTTGTTAGCAAATATAATTCATTCAGGCTACCAAATATCCTTTTCTTTTTGTAAATGCTCTTATTTTATGTGCTGTAAAAATTTTAATTGTAAATCCGACTCACCAAACGCAATACTTAGGTCTAGAATGAGGCCCCGGCGGAGCATCTATAAATCGGATGTCAGTTTTGCATCTCTGGGTTTTCATCTCATCAAAAGGATAGATTTCAGACCACGGATCAAGCATAGACTTACTCCAGTGATAGGTGCAATTGCCATTTTCTATGATTTTGTGAAGTTTTGAATATCAGGGTTATACTGTCGTCGTCGTCCAAGTGCAGAGAGGTGGCGTCTGGATCCAGTAGGCGAATGATTCATAACCGAAGCAAACCTTACTAGGCACCATCATCTACGAACCCATGTATTCTAAGTATCTAAAAGTGCAATCTAAGTGGTATAATCTTTTCCCAGCCGCAGAAGATCAGATAAAACAACAGCGTAAGCGCAAATGACACTACCATTTTGTTAGAGATGGCACCTCTCTCCCCTATCATTTCTCGAAAACGGACAAGTCCCAGCGATTATGATAATTCAAGTGAGCCTGTGCCTAAGAGGATAGGACTTGACCTCGCAACACCATCCTCATCAGTATCTCTAAGCCAGTGCTCAAGTTCCAAAATGGTCCCAGTCATGTTTGATGATGATCCTCACAACCTACTTCTACGATCGATAACGCTGGCTCTACAGCATGTGGGATTCAGTGCAGCTACACCAGAAGCATTAGAAGCCATTTGTGATGGAGTAGAAACCTGTTAGTATACCTATTATTTTTCTATCATGTTGGCAGTCTAACTTCCATGAGATGCCTTGCGATTTTTATCAAAGGTGACAGAGTCAATGTTGTGCTCGCGACGTTCCCAGCCTATTCCGACTGACTTTGGATTCGCACTCAAAGAATTCGATGTTCCTCTCTTATCAATTGAGCCGCATCTCAAGCCACCCATATCACCTTCTAAAACTCAGGTGCGACTCGAAGAGTTGACATCCGAAAAATTACCGGTACAAACCGACAACATTTTATTAGGGGATGAGTTAAGTGGCGATATGGATAAAAGAGAACGCCCTTATATCCCGAAAAATTTTCCATCATTTCCCAGCAAGCACACATACAAATGGACTGAGAAAGAATCCGCACGTGAAAGTGACCCAAGAAAGATACGTGAAGAGGCGGCTAAGGTCGCTAGGCAGGGTGAAGAAGCTCTTCGACGCTTGACAAAAGTAGGAAAGATTGGAAAAGAAAAAGATGCGAAAAAGATAGCTAGCAGGGACCCTAGGAGTAAAGAAAGGCATCAAATTTGGGAAAGTGTTATGAAAAGTCTACTGTCTTGGAGCAAGACGGCATCTAGCGTGTCTGAGTTGTCATCTGGAACTGAAGAAGAGAGCAGGAGCATGATAGTGAATGCAGAGAGGCCATATTTCCGAAAAGGGCCCCCTGCCAGGAAAAAAAGAGCGCCATCAACAGATATGTACGAGTCTTTGAAGGTCTAAGTATGTCAAAAGATGATAGCTTTTTCTGACAGGTGAAATTTTCACGCAGTGTATATTCTTGAAGCCATCATAAATGCTTCCATTTGCCGCCATTCCCACTGAAATTTATATTCCCATATCACCAGTTGCCGTTCAGGCTGTATAGAGTGTTGCAATATTAATTCCCTTCAAAAAGCCCAAAATTTGATCATGTATTCCTTACAACTAGTCGCTAAGCGTTAGATGCCCTCAATGACGACAGATGTGCGTTCTAGCCCTATTATGTTTTGGTGCCACCATCAGTTGGATTTTCCCATGCCGTAGTTTCGATCATCCAGCTTTTTTTTCCAGTCTGAAATCTAATAATTATTTATCAGTTGAACAGTCTATTAAATACGGTATATTTATTTGCTGTTAGGTTTTGGACTAACCTTCGGTAAAATCGCTCGACAGGACGACACACCACAGTTTTGCCATCGGCAGTACACTCGTACTGAAGCAGTTCCAGCCGTTCGCCCTGATCTAGTTGGACAGCGGTTCCTCTAATCTTTTTACGGGTACACTCACTCCCTACTTGGGAAGCGAGATCACGCGCGGCAAAGCTCATCATGAAAGGCGCCATAGTTAGAATGTGGGCGGGTATGAGTGGCATGAAAAGGAGCGTACCCAAACCAATGACCTACACACACGGTGGAAGTAGAACTAGAGGCCTCGACGCCTAACCGAAGCAAGATGGCCAGTCGCGGCGCCCACCTTCTCAAGGAGATCGAGAATGGAATCATCCCACTATCCGAGGTGAGCCCTATTATCATTTGAACGTAATTTATGACAATTAAATTTGGCATACTAGATTTTATCGGCGCTGCGTGCGAGATTTGGGAAACCTGCAGAATCATTAGCCTTGCCCGCTGGTTTATGGCGTCTTGTTACCGCTAATTCTTCTCCGGCTCTATTAGCCATAAAATCTACACCAAACTCTGCGGCTTCGCTTGCTCTACTTCATCACATACTTATCTACCAACTTTCTGTTTGCAATGAGGCAGTGGCTCTAGTCGACTACACTGGTCGATTTCTCGTCGCGCATCTCCGAAATTCATGCGGGACAGAGGATTTGCGACATCTACATGTCTTTCAGCCAACAACACATATTAGCAATATCACAGATGCTGTCAAACAGTGGATGCTACACGGGAATCACGAGAGTCACGACAAAAAATGGGTCAGCACTATTATTATAGGCGGAGCAGAGGTTAGAGATTGGCTTGGGATGGGGAGGATAACTATCACTGTAGGTTGGAAGGGATGGCTAAATGTTATAAAAGAAAAAAAAACCTATGCCGAAGGTGTTAGTCTTGAAGAGGCCTTGGATACCAAGTTTTTAAACGAGAGCATTACATGGAGAGCATGGTGTGAGGAGGGCGAGTATAGGTGGCAGCAATAGCTGAAATTTATCATTTCATAAACACCACATCTCCAAATCCTGCTCAATAAAGTTGTGGATTCGTTTCGTGAGAATTTTGAAACAGGAAGCAGAACTGTTGACCTCGATTAAATGCTTCTGCCTGTTGAATAGGTCGTATCTCGGTATCTAGTCGCATAACAAAGTAGATTGGGATAAGTATGCTTTTGTTTCTCTAATCTATCTACAACTGTGATACATGAGAAAATTACACGTGACATATTTTTCAGCCTTGCAGTCTAACATCATACTAAGACCTCAAGCCGACAAAGACCAATTCTTCACTATCCAGTGGTGCCCGTGTAATCGCTCAGTATGCTCTGCATATCTGGGTTAGCCAAGAAGAATCGCATCCGAATCGAAGTCGAAAACAATCTCAAGCATATCTCCATTTGACGACTTCTCGACAATGCTTTTCATACCGTACTCATCTGAGTCCTTGACCTCTTTCTAAACACGCATCATCTCGCCTCCACGACCAATAAAGAACTTGCTCCAATTGCATACAGGAGCTAGCCCCATTAATTTCCAGCCATCTCTCACTACAAATTTGCGACGCTACATATAACCGCAAGGAGAAAATTAAGTCGTAATATGCAAAGTTGGGGTCTTGGTTTATGGGGGACTGCAGCTCTAATGGGGTTATAAATCTTGAGGAAGGACAGGCTGCTGAGATGTGGAGCTAGAGGGGAAAGAGGTCTCTGAAGACTATGCTGGGACTGACATTTTCGAGGAGTTGTCAACTTTGGATTTTTTGTGGGCGCCAAGACTAAGATTTGGGCTAATTAGCCAGGAGGGCTTCTATTGTCGATGAGTTAACTGCACTCTTCAGCGCTCTGTACGGCACAAATGAAGTTGGGCTAAGTTACCATACAGCAATCACGCACTGTCAAGACTTTTCTGACATTTCGGCACGACCTTCGGGAAGAAGTTGGAAGGAGGCTAGAAAGGCAGAGTGTGAATTTCCCGAGGTACCCGCAAGTCTGCCGCGCCCAGCTTGCCGGCCTCTTCGAACGCTTCGGAAGGGGCACTATGTCTTCGGATTTAGTCCTAATGTCGGTATTAAGAGAGCTCCGCACCCAGTGGTTTTTGCGAATTTTCCCGGCTGCCATACACCCGTAAATGGCCATCGTTTCGTTGGCTTGAGAGGGGAGATAATGAAGGGCAAAGTGCTCCTCTAAGCGTATCATCGAATGAGGACTTGTGAGGGGTGGTACTATTTGAGGGGAGCTGTATGGGAGGCATAGGAGGGGATATACTACTGGTATAGGTATCCTTGGCCTGTAGGCAGAGAGGCCCTGCATGTCCTACATAGTCATAGACTCAGACAAGATAATAAAATGAATTAATTAATGTGCTCCTCACACATTTCGCCGTCCGTCACACCTTCCAAATGATAAATTTACTCAATCTCCGTTGAGAGCAGTAGATGAGTTAGCAGCCACCTTTTATCTAGCCGGTATCCTGCTATTGGTTAGTAGCGCCCTAAAAGAGGCATCGTTGAGGTTGCTGTGTCCTCAAACTTCTTCTTCAGCTTCTAGAGCTCCGAAACCTGTTGCCTCAGCCATCGAGACATCTTTCGCCGCGGCAATGATAGCATCTTCGGCCTTTTTGGCTGCAGCCCTTACTCTAGCCACCTTTAAGAACTCCCCTTGTTCAATGTGGCGGATCTACGCGAGCTGCTCTTTTGTCATCGGTCCGGATTTTTTAGGGTCTGACTTGGCGGGCTCGAGAATCCAATCGGTGGGGTCCCCCACAGTTACGACACTTTGTGAGGGCCTTGCACTCGGCTTCCGAGTGCATGTTGGAGCCGCAGTTCCAGCAGGCTGAAGCAACCACGAGTGGCGTGGAAGCCCAAACAGCGTTTACACTGTTCAATTTGGCAACGAGACTTATGAATGGTAGCCATACTAGACTTGTCGAAGAGGTGGAAGCCCGCACGAGGGGCGTTGTCCCGCGTGAAAAGGGCATGCCAGTTCTGATACGGTGCCCCAGGTCGACATGTCCCATGAGGTCGGACCTGGATTGGTCTCACGCCGGTCGTAAGGGTGATCTTGGCGAAAACTAACTCAGCATCGATCGCCCTGAGGCCGCTCTCTGTAATTATACTTACAGGTACGTTCGGTATCTGTAAGGCTACAAGATCTGAACAAGCCTCGAGTTTGGCGTTTTCACTCGCCAGATTCGAAGAGCCATCTAGCATCTCTTGTCGTGTTTTTTCGTTCTTTGCTAGCAATGCAAAGCCGCTCCTCACTCGATGAAGCGAGATTATTTTATCGTGAAAGAAAAAGAATCTAGTCTCCAACTTACTTCTCACGCAACTTGTGGACAGTTTTCGCCACGGGTGGTCCTTTTCGAGGCGAAGGAACAGTCGCTTGTCGATCTTCGCCTTTGGGGTTTCTTTTTGTTGGGTTTTGGCCGCAGGTCGCGGCATAGCCTTTACAGTAGGGGCTGCTTTTTGTCGCTGTCTGTTTCTGGCCACCGTGGCCCAGGTGCTTTTCACAGGCAGCGCTGGGACGGCGGGAGTTGTTGTACTCCTGGCGTCGGGAGCCCTTGGGAGTGCTTGTCGGGCGAGGAGGGAGGACGGGTGGCGTGGGGGCCGAGCCCGTGGCCATGTATTGCGCTATGGCGGCGCGTAAGTAGACTCTTATTGAGTCTACAAATTGTCTGTTTGACCCGTTGGTCAAAGGGTGGAGGGTGGCCTCGACGCCAGAGATGGCGGCGGAGCAGAGGGCCAGATTTGCCGCTGATTCGGCGGCGCGTCATTGTTCGGCCTCGACGATTGGTCGAAACTCAGGAGGGCATTCTGCTTTGGCCGCAGCTTTTGGCTGCGACGTTGATATTGACGCTGCTATGGGTGCAGCGTTTTCCGACGGTTTTGACACGGTCGGAGGTGGTTTGGATGATTCTCCAGTCCTGTGAGGGACGGAGGGTGGTTGAGGAATTTCCTCAACAATTTCGGCTGACCAGATCATGTTAGTATCGGGTTCAGTGACGGCGGGGAGGGCTTTTTCCCTCCCTTTGATTGAGCCCTTGCTCATCTCCGCGCATTTCGGAGACTGGGCAAGGCCAGGTACTTGCTCGAGAGCCCTCGGGTGGACTCTAGTGTTGTCCAACTTGGCGTTGGGACGCTGTTTTCGAACAGGTGGCATGGTGAAAATGCCAGTGACTCGATGATAATTTTTTGATAGAATGCGACGAGCGCGAAAGGGAGGGAGAGGGGGAGAGGGTGAAGATTCGAATTTTCGAATTTCAAAAAATTGTGTTTTGTGAGCTAGCACAACGTTAATAATAATAAACAAATATAAAAAAAAAAAAAGTTTTTCCAGTTACTAGATCTCTAGAAACTAGTTGATAGTCCGTCTCTCGAATCACGGATTTATTTATAATGTGGCCTCCATATTTGTTGTTTCCAGACGTAATTGGAACAAACGGTTGAGTTGCCTTGGGATTAGGGCATCAAAAGATGGAGTTCTGACTTCTTTGTGTTGGTATTTGTCACATGACGTTATGTTTGCTGCAATTGACATATACATATAATTCTTTCCCTGATTTGGCGCCTTGAGGCCCATGCAGGTTTTCATCGGAAGAAATGTACTCTAAGTAGGATCACTTAATTTGACATTTATAACACTCACACTCAGATTTCATTTGCAGATACCACTCGAGATTAACCCTTACGGCGTATAACCTCTTCCGTGTATACCCACCACAGGGAAAAGCGTGAAAACCCTGTGGCTATCCAAGTGTGCTTTCATCATGGCACAAGTGCAATATCACGGCAAAAGAGAGTGTGGTGTGTGGGTCTGACTGGATTCGATCCAGCTTTCTCCTGTCTCGGACGGGGTAGGTGTTCAAGCTACCCAGTATCTACTTGGGAGAATGGCCCGGATGGTGTACCACTACACCATCCAACCCGTGCAATTGACATACTTGTTGCTCTAGAGGCAGCCGCGGCGGAGAGGTTTCTGAGCGCGCGTTGTGTACCTAGTAAATGGTGGGTGTGTGTGCGTAAGAATGAAATGTTATCTCGTGGTGTCTCGTGGCTCCTAACTACAATGGAACTTGCGTAGAGCTTAAGACTAATACGTGAATTCTATTTCTCCCTAAATGTAGGATACCTAAGCGCCTATATACATTAATACTCTGTTACCCCTCAGCTCCAGTGCGATCTGATCTTGTGAGACCATAAGACACTAGCATTTTGTCTATGTGCCGTACATCGAAAATCTGACTAACCCGTGACAATGTAGATCTTTTCAGGATCCACAGTGGTGCAAGCCTCACGGACTGGCTTAGTCATTGGGCCAAGAATTGCAGTATAAGTAGGCCGAGCCTCTCCCTTCTTCTGCGATCTTTAGCTCTGTACGTCTTTATCAATTTGACCCCCAACAATAATTAGAATACATTTCTGACTATCTTTTAGCTTTGCCTATTGGCTTAGATCAAGTGTAGTATCTGGTAAGCGTAACGAAATCAGACAAACTCTTCAACTGACTAACTCATACAGTTCTTTTCAGTTTAATCTCTGAAAGTCCTCTACGGAGGACACATTGATTATACTTATTTTTGAAAATAGTCTGTGAATCTCTGGGCTTGCCTACGTTCGCGGACAATGTGTCATCGGTATAACACTGCCTCCGATCGACGCGAACCCTTTCATTTTAATCGTGCACCACGAATGAGAAGAAGGTTAAACAAATAAATACGAAACAGTGTAGAAGCACCCAGACCAAGTTTGTCAAGGATTACAACCTATCATAGAAAGATTACACTACTTAGAATGATGGTATTAAAGAGGCAATAGGGCCTATGAACACTACATTCTTACGTGAAAAGAATAGAGTCAGGCAGGTCGAATGGTTCCGCTTTTGTGTATGAATAGCATTGTACTTGAATCAATAATTTGGTTGTACGTGTCTCCAAAGATGAATTGTCGACTCCTCTTGGTAATATTCATTGCTTCGTGAAGCTTAACACCA